TTGTTCATTAATAGAAGTTTGCCAAAAAATTTTCTTTATGTTTTTTCCTGTATTTCCTATTTTCTCTGTTTCATCATCTCGACTAACATGATTTATTCCAATAGACATTTGGTTATTTAGTTGCTTTGAATAGGGGTTTCCTCTACAACTGCAGGAAAGGTTTGAACTGGATTTACTGTGGGGGCCTGCCTGAGGCCCCTCTGGGAGTTTCCCGAAGGTCGAGGCAGAGGGTTACCCTGTCTGTCCCTTGTTGATCTACATTCGTTAGTCCAGTGTTTTCCCTTACCACACCTTCTGCATACTCCAGAAGGAAGGGGCATTCTGTTGCCAGTGTTCCTTGAATAAACATTATTTCTAGGAATGACCTGTTTACAATCCCTTTTCAAATGTCCTTGCTTTCCACATCCAAAACATCTAACATTGCTCAAACCTTTTGAAATTGCTTTTCCTACCCACATATCATCATGGTCATAAGCCTCTACATTAACTGTATCTCTAATCCAATCTTCCAAAGGTGCAGATCTTGCCTTTAACGGCCTAATTATTCTTTTGCACGCTGCATTTGCATTCTCAAAGGCTAAAGATTCAATTATTATCTGACTAGCCTCTGAATTCGGGACCATTTTTTGTACTGCTGAAGTCAATCTTTGTAAGAAGTCTGTGAAAGATTCTTTGGGGCCCTGTATAACCTTTGTAAATGACTCAGTTTTTTTTCCTGGTTCTTCAACTCTGTCCCATGCATTCAAAGCTGCCGTTTTACATAGAAGTAGGGTTTGGACATCATATGAACATTGTGTTTGTACTGAAGCATATTGGCCTTCGCCAATAAGCTGATCCTGGCAGACTTGTATTCCGCTATCCCTCCATTGTCTTTCTATATTTTTAGCCTCATTACTGAACCACATTTTCCACTGGAGATTTTGTCCGGGTTCAAGAACAGCCTGTGCCAATTCCCGCCAGTCCTTTGGTATAATCCTATTACAAGTTGACCAGGTGTTTAACATTTGCTTTACATATGGGGAGTGCATGCCATAAGATGCTATTGCCTCCTTAAATCTTCGTAAGTCTAACATTTCAACTGGAACCCAAGTATTTTGTTCATTCTCTTCATCAGGTAGCTGCTGTACGGCTACTGGATAAATTAAGGGTGATTGTGTGAAAACTGGCTTTCTTTCTGTAACCTTACGATCCAATTTTGAAACAACTTCACTATTTATTTCTTCTGTCTGAATTTGAATTTCTCTATAATTCATTTTTACCGGTTTAACAAGTTTTTCTAAGACTGTTATCCTGGCACTTAAGTTGACGATCTTTTTAAATAGTAAAATGAGGATAAGAAAAGTAATAAACTGAATAATTCGATCAATATTAATCTTTTCATATAGTTGTTCCATTGTCAGAGTGCCTAAAATTTCAAACAAAGCCCAATTTTCTTCCAATGTACACATAAAGCCCATTTTTTTTTTAATGTAGAAAAAAATTCTCTTTTAAATAGATATGTTAATTGACTTACCAAGTCTGGGTAGAACAGTAGAATCCCAGGGAATTTCACAGCCACCTGGTGTTCGAGGTGTGAATCCAGCGAGAGAGAGCGAGAGAGAGAGAGAGAGAGAGAGAGAGAGAGAGAGAGAGAGAGAGAGAGAAAGTGTAGCCGCTTGAGCCGAGTCAAGCCTTGGCTTTACAGGCAGGGGCCCTGTTCAGCGGGGCAGGTCTGAGTTGTTTGTAGCAGTTCCAGCTGCGGGTCAGTCAGGCCTGGGCCCAAGCTAGGCAGCCAGGCCGCCCAGGCTGGAAACCGGACCTGCCGCCAAGCCAAGCCAATCGGTTTTTAATGAATTCTTGTCACGTTGGGCGCCAAATGTAGATGTATCCAACCTTCCCATCAAACAATAAACACAGAACCAATGCAAAGAAGAAAGCCAAGAGGTCAGAGCCAAGAGCCAAAACCTTACCCTTCCTCCTGCAGTGGTCCTACCTCTCCGAACCAGAGCTACCCCTGTGTTAAAGTCTTTATATAGAGTTCCTGTCCTGCCTTCTCATTGGTTGTAAACCCAACCACATGACCGCCTCCTCACAGCCTGTCTGTATAGGCCTCCAGGTTTTCCATGATTGGTATTAAGATTAAAGGCATGTGTATCCAATAATGGCTGTATCCCTGAACACACAGAGACTTACCAAGCTCTGCCTACTAAGTGCTGGAATTACAAGCGTACGCTACCACTGCCCTGCTTTCCTATGGCTTGCTAATAGCTCTGACCCCCGGGCAACTTTATTTATTAACATACAAATAACATTTTAATACAAATAAAATATCACCATAGACCTCTTTTCTGATTCTTCAACTTCATCCCAAGCATTTAAAGCTGCTAAACAATATAGTGCCATGGTGTGACATCAAACTCAAATTGCCTTTGTAACTCAGCATATTGACCTTCACTTAGAAGCTGATCTTGGGAAGTATTAACACCTCTAGCCCTAGTTCACTGTTCTATGCCCCTAGCTTCCTCTTTCCACCAGGTTTGCCATTATTAACCGAGGACCAGCTTCCAATATTGCTGTTGCCAAATCTTTCCAGTCTTGTGGGATAATTCTGTTGCCCATGAATTTAATATCTGCTTCACATAGAGTGAATATATACCATATGAAATGACTGCTTCCTTAAATCTCCTCAAATCTAATATTTCTATAGGACTCCATTTAACTTCCTGATAACCTTGGGGGTGTGTATCATCTGCTGGCAGTTCTTGCATAGTAACTAGATAAATTAAGGTTGGTTTTCTAACAACTTTGGGTCGCTCCTCTTCAGTTTCATCATGTGGTGGCTTGGTAGTTCTCTAAATTCCTCTGTCTGTGTCTGAGTATTTTTCTTATTTTCATTTATAAGTCTTTCTAAGGCATGTGTCTTATCAATCCACTTTTCATAGTTGGCACAAAAAAAAAACCACCATGACTATTAAGGATAAAATATGAATTACCAGACTGATAGTAATTATAATTGGTATTATGTCAATCTCTGTTAAATCATCTATCTTTTCATTTTCTATTTTCATGCCATTTGAAGTAACACTATACAGGACCCTAACACCCTGAATTATGATATTTCCCATCCTTAATGTAGGAAAGATTTTTCTTTTTAATATTACTTAACTCTCTCCTTGAGTACTTCCTAGTCTTACCAAACCAGATGGCTTCTCAGTTTGTCCGCAGCTAACGTGATTTCTCTGTCCATGTGGTCATGCCCCACATTTGGTGCCAAATGTTGTTTTTAACAAAATCTCAATCATTTGATTTTACCAATAAAGACTCAGGAGCCAGATGCTGGGGTGAAAGCCTGCTAGCTCAGAGAGGCAGAGCAAGCACCCAGCTGACCTTCCTCCTCTGAAGACCTTTCAAACAAAACTCCAACTGGTTGTTCTTCCCTTCTACTTCCTGTGTGTGTCTCTTTCTCCACCCTCCTGACTCCCTCATACTCTCTGTGATTATTTTCCTGTCAACTGGTTGCTTGCCCCACTTCTTGACGTATGGTTGACCTTAATTAATCCTGTCTACAATATTCAAACAGAAAACTCTTGGATTAAAGGTGTGTGCTAGGACTGAGTCACACCAAAGCTTTGCAGGCTTTTTCAGGAAGTAATGCAATCTCAGGGTTCACTGTGTGATCAAATATCCTGCAACAAGAGTGGCACTGTTAGGAGGTGTGGCCTTGTGAGAGTAGGTGTGGCCTTGTTGGAGGAAGCGTGTCTCATTTTACTTCTGATGTCTGTGGATCAAGATGTAGAATTCAACTCCTTCTCTAGCACCACGTCTGCCTGTATGCCTCCGTTTCCTGTCGTGATGATAATGGACTAAACCTCTACAACTGTAAGCCAGCCACAGTTAAATGTTTTCCTTTCTAAGAGATGCTGTGGTCATGGTGTCTCTTCACAGCAATAGAAACCCTGACTCAGACAGGCCCCATAAGTAAAGTTAATGGTAAGCACTCAGGGCTGGGAAGGTGGTTCTGCTGGTAAAATGCCTGCAGCACAAGCAGGAGGGCCTGAGTTTAACTCCAAGAGCCATATATAAAAAGCCAAGCATGGCGGGAGCGTGTAAAATCCCAGTCCTAGGGAAAGGCAGGCAGGGGATCTCTGCAGCTCGCCAGCCAGTCAGCCTAGCCTATTCAGTGGGCTTCACGACAGAGATCTGCCTCAAAAAAAAAAAATCAAGGTGGACTGCTCCTTATGAACAACTGAGATTGACTCCAGGCTCTCCCAGGCACACCTGTGAACCCCTTCCTTCCCACTAGACACACAAGAATAAGTACAAACCAACTCATATCATAGGTTGACTATCCCTTATCTAAAATGCTTCAGGGTTCTTTGATTTTGGGATATTTTCATGGATTTTAACTGGATGAACATGTCTCACTCAAAAAGCCAAAGGGCCCTAAAATCTAAAACTTCCTGAATGCTAACCCATTAATATCATCAACTATTAGAGTTCAGAATATATAAATGATTACCTTTGAAATAGGGAAAAGAAACATGGAAAATTCATTGGGAGAAATAATTGGCAAAGGATCTGAATAGGCAGGAATCTATTGACAATGCAGGAAGCAAACTGGAGCCCAACCAGGTGCTAAGTCACCTGTCTTCCCCACCCTGCCCTCTGCTAATGCTCACTGGACTCTGGAATCCCTTCTCAGTGGTACTTGCTTCCACTGGGCAGGGAATAAATCAGCAAACCCCTACATCTGGGAGTTCTTGTGCAAGTCTCAATGTCTATAGTACTGAAAGAACACAGAACATTCCGATCTGAAATTACGGATGATCTCACCTACTCTTGGTAGATTCAAATGGCCTTCCTCAAGTGCCTGCTCTGGGTCACTACTGACTGCTCAAAATGGTCCAATGCACTTCTCTAGCCACGTGGGAACATTTACTGGACACCTCATTCACATGTACTAAATATTTTTATTCTAGTCATATGAAATCTGTCATTTTTTTCTTTCATTTAATCTTTAGGAAGATGATGAAATGCTTCGACCTTTTGTGCACCAACAGTCACTGATGCTCAAAGATTTGGAAGACCTACTTGAATCCAGCTTACAGAAGCTGAAAAATGATGTTGCTGTCATAGTGAAGAAGAAGAAAGAGTATCTACTGCATACCCAACAGTGAAGATGAGCAAGCTGAAAACATGCTCTGACTCACATAACTGCGTCTACCATTTTAGGTAAGATGCCTCCACTTGCCTCTTTTCTGACAAGGCCTTGTTATGTGGACCAAACTGGCCTTATCTTGCCTCTGTATCCCTAGACCCACACTGAGCCTTAAATGGATTTAAAAATCTATAAAAAAAAATTAACATGTATACAGGATGGTGAGGGGAGATGTCTGTGGTGAAGGTTCAGAACCTGGAGCTCTGGATTTGATTGCTCACAGTTCAATCCTGGCTAAATCTATCACTTCTACATTGTACAGTGTGGGACAACTCACTGACCTCGCTTTACTCATCAGTTATCTGGGATGGTTAATGCTTACCACCTTTCTGGCAGAATGCCTGGCAGAGAGCATGCTCAGTAAGCATTACCATCAATGCTTTCCTGGGAAATAATTCACATTCCTTTCCTTTTTCCTTTTTAAAAAAGAACAATTTTATTGTGTGTGTATGTATGTCTGTATCTCTGTACATGTGTGTGGTACCTTTTTAGGCCAGAAGAGGGAGTTGGATCATCTGGAGCTAGAACTAGCAGCAGCCATCAACCCCACCTTGGTTGCTGGGCACTGATCTTGGGTCCTCTGGGAGACCAGCACATGCTTTTAAGCACTGAGTCATTTCTCCTGTCTGTTTACTTTTTATTTTTTGAGACAGAGTCTCACTCTTAACCCAGGCTGCCCTCCAACTCTTAGTGGTCCTTCTGCTATGACCGCAGGTGTGAGCCAACATGCCTGGCTTTTCCATTCCACACTGTAAATAACACCTGCCTGATTAGTTGATTTTGTTTCTTTTTGTTGTCAGAAATAGACAATAGTTAGTTCACATTTTTTATTTTGTACTCTTGCTCTTGAACAAGTCCACCCACCCACGAGTTTTCCCCTACTCGTTTTCTATTCATATGCTTATTTGAAATACATTCAATTGGCTCAGCTGCAGTAGTGTTGTACTGTAGGATCTCTGTGGTGCAGAGCTGAATGTTAGCCAACTCCTTTCAGTAGACAGTCCATCCTGCAGTGGATATTGATCCCACAAATGGTTGGTGAGTCTCAGAGACTGACAGACACTAATACTCTAGGAAGAGTCTATAAGAAAATCTTTTATGGCCAGGGAAACATCTGGTAACAAAGCCACAAAAATAGTGACCCTTAGGGCTGGAGAGGTGGCTCAGAGGTTTAGAACACTGGCTGCTCTTCCAAAAGACGCAGGTTCAATTCCCAGCACCCACATAGCAGCTCACAACTGTCTGTAACTCAAGTTATAGGAGATCCAACAACTTTACACAGACATACATACAGGCAAAACACCAAAGCACATAAAATTTTTAAAAGTTTAAAAAAAATAATAGTGAAGGTTAACACACATTTACCAGGTGCCAGACTGTAATCTTAATTCCAAACATTTGTTAACTTGTTCAAGTCTCATGATAATTTATCACTTAATGTATGCAGTACTTCCACAAAGATTCCTCAAAACAACAAAACCAGAAGTATCTTATGATCAAGCAATCCCATTACTGTGTGTATATTCAAAAGAACTGAAATCAACATGTTGAAAGCTAGCCATATTCCATGTCCACTGCAGCAATATTCTCAAGCTGAGGTAAGGCTTAAGTGTCCATCTATGCATGGCCAGCTTTTTAAATATGACATATGTATACAAGGGAATACCACTCAACCTTAAGAGAAACAGGATTGTTTAACTAAACTGAGATGGCACCAAACTGCCTTCTAAATATTCATATTTATACCTTTGTACAAATGACAGTCACCATCAGAGAAGCTTCTCTTAGCAATGAATGGCTGTGAATGCAGAGAATCATGGCTGGACAAGGTACTGATGATAAGTGACAATTAAATGCTCATCTCTAGACAGAACATTTATACCACCCCCTCTAAAGCTCAGAGGACACTGTGGAAGAGGGTGCTGAAAGAATGTAAGAGTTGGAAGAGAGGAAAATGACAGTGGAATGCTTTGTTCTGGGCATGGCACAGCCATCGCAACCATGATCACCAGGCTGCAGCTGCCTGCCCGGGGCCTGTCAGCTGGCAGTCATAGGTTGGGTAGGGGCTCGTTGGGCCCTGCCATTCCTTGCTGAACTGTTGACTATGACAGAACTGGGGCCAGTCACTGTCTTCAGTTGTGTACTCACTGATAAGCCCACTGGGCTCCAATGGGTAGCCCCAAAACTATGGGTGCCCAGAAGGCCACGGTCAAACTCAGTGGGTAACAGAACAAAAAGTCATGAGTGTGGGGAAGTGACTGGCAGGGTTAACAGGGGTTAAAGGGTGATCAAAGAGGGTGAGGTGAGAGAAACTGGAATGTATTATATCCATGTATGAAATTGTCAAAGAACAAATAAAAGTTCTCTTTAAAAGCAGGGAATTCTAATTTGTGACAACATGGGTGAGTTTAGGGATCATTGTGTTAAGTGAATAATCAAACTACACAGAGAGATGCTGTGGATTAATCCTTCTGTACACTGTGAATATGTATTACTCTCATTGGTTAATAAAAAAACTGACAGGCCAGTAGCCAGGCAGGAAGTATAGGTGGGACAGCCAGACACAGAGGAGTCTGGGAAGAGGAAGGGCGGAGTCAGGGGAGTCACCAGCCAGCCATCTGCCGAGAAAGCAGGATGTGTAGAACATGAGGTAATAAGCCATGACCCATGTGGCAAAGCATGGATAAGAAATATGGGTTAATTTAAGTGTAAGAGTTAGCTAGTAAGAAGTCTGAGCTATCAACCAAGCATTTGTAAGTGGTTATTTGGGAGCAGCAGTCCAGACAGGAAAACTCTGCCTACAGAGAGAACTATTAATCTAATATCTACAAAAAATAACTGACAGTGGGATGGTGTCTGCCAGGAGCTTGAGGGAGGTGGTAAGTAGAAAAGAGGAGTCCTTCCTCAGTGGTACAGGTTACAAGGAATAAGTATGTGTTCTGTCCCAGGCTAACTCACCATAGTTAACAGTGACTAAGTAAGGATTTTAAGTGTTCTCATCACAAAGAAATTGTAAATAATCTGAGGTGATAGATGCAATTACTTTTATTTGTTTATTCTATAATGTGTGAATGTATTTAAATATCTTTTTTTTTCTTTCCAGACAGGGTCTAATTATGTAGCCCTGGTTATCCTGGAACTCACTCTGTAGACCAGGCTGGCCTTGAACTCACAGAGATCCACCTGCCTCTGCCTTCTGAGTGCTGGGATTAAAGGCGTGCGCCACTATGCTCAGCTAAAAGCCATTTTTTTAAAAATAATTTTTATGTCTATGTGTGTGCTAGTATGTGTGTGTACCACATGTGTGCAAAGTGCCCTTAGAGGACAAACGATGGCATCAGATCCCTTGGAGCTGGAGTCACCAATTATAAGCCACCTGATGTGGGTGCTAATAATCAAACCTGGGTCCTCTGCAAAATTAGAAAGTGCTCTTGGCTATCTCTCTAGCCCCAGTCATACTCATTCTGAATTTCATAAATACATATCATTATTTGCCAGTTAAAAAATTAAATAGAAATAATTTTTAAAAATAAAAGATCCTTTCTTTTCAAGTTGAATATTCTTCCATACAGAGAGCAGAGAAGGATCACCAAGCATGAGTACTACTCTGTTATGTCCACAAATGGGCGGCTGTTTTCTTTACATAAGGAGCAGTACAAATACTGCATGCGCCTGTCTCAGATGTTGCTGTTTTATTGTTGAGATAGGGTCTGTAGTCCAGGCTGCTCTCCAAATCCCTACATATCTGAGGATGACTTTGAACTTCTGATCTTCCTGCCTCTGCCTCCTCAGTACTAGATTACAGGTGTGTACTAGGGCCCGAACCCAGGACCTTGTGTATGCTAGGCACATACTACTACCTAATCTACATCCCCAGTCTTTTTTTGTTTGTTTGTTTTGTTTTGTTTTTTGAGACAGGGTTTCTTTGGTATCACTGTCTGTCCTAGAACTCGCTCTACAAACCAGGCTGGCCTTGAACTCACAGAGATTTGCCTGCTTCTGCTTCCTGAGTGCTGGGATCAAAGGCGTGCACCACCAGCGCCCAGTTATCATCCCCAGCTTTGAGTGTATATGTGTGTGTGTGTGTGTGTGTGTGTGTGTGTGTGTCCTGTAATTCATAGGAGAGATGTTCTCCTTATTTTAGTGTTTCAATGTAAAATGTGGCTTAAAAAGCAAATTTGAGAAAAATTCTGCTGAGGCTGTCAAGATCAATAGAAAGTCAAAAGCTGTTTGCTTAATACTAACCACAGTTATGAAATCGGGGATAAAAAGATGCACTAACCCAATTATTGGCAGTAAATAGGTCAGGCCACTTAAAACAGTGCCAATGTACAATAAGCACGGAAGTCCAAACCAAAACCAAAACAAAACAAAACCCCATCATTCAATTAACAACCCTTTATTATTCAACGTAGGTAAACAATCCAAAATCAGTCCTTGTAGGTGGATGAGAACATTGACTAAAATAGAAAAGGACAGTCTTACTTAGCAAATGCTCACACACTATGCAGAGGAGCTCCCAGGAGGGTGAGATCCCACAACCCCACGGCAAGGAAGGCACAAGTTCCTGCCACATCCTAACACCAGTCAAGTTCCGCCACTAAGGAAAGCTGTTAGTACACAAACAGGGACCCTTCACTATCTGATCTTCCAGTTCATTTGTCAATAAAAAGGCAAGGAGAATATTAGTTTTCTCTCACAAGCAATAAAATCATAAAACAGCTGAGATATGAGGTTTAGGATAAGCTAGTATAATTTTCTGCTTTTAATGTATAGATATTTTAGACTTGACAGTCTTCCACATACAGTCAGATAGGTTTATAGCAAATAGAGAAGCTGTTAGTTCGTGCATTTTATGATTCAGTCAGTCTTCAAATGTTTAGACCTCGGAGCTGCTAATGACGCTAAATTCAATGCCATGCTGGTTGAGTCTGTCAATCAACTTCGTTCTGGAGAAAGCTGCTCCAGGTGTGAAGACACCGCCCCTGTAAAACAGGAACAAGAGAACACAGTGCACAAGGCTCCTCTCCAGCCCTCTCCTCCGTGGGCCGAGCAATGGAGTCACTCACACCTTCTGAAAACCAATTCTTCCCCATCACATTCCTAAAACCAGCCAAATGAGCACATGGCTCTTAGTCCACAGCACTGTTTAGTTGCTCATGAGCCTTTTTCATACTACAGGTGTGCTCAAGGGGCCCTCTGAGCATCATACACCTGAGTCTTCACACTCAAGAGGACTAAATAAAAACATGAATGGAATTCATTCAGCTAGCCAACTATTATTAAACAGCACTTCAAGTTGATGAAAAAGAAGTTTCTTCAACTAAAATGGCCAATATTTGCAAAAATGCCAAATGACGAGTACTGGACAGTTCTAGTTAGGCTTTACTACACACAACTTCTATCTATATTTCTTAATACTGCTTTAGGTTATGCCTGATTTGCCTTTCAGCCATGGGCTTCTGTGCACTGGTGAGGTTGGCTTAGTTCCAAGGGTACCAGCTAAATGCTCAGTAAGACAGCGCACTCCATAACCACCTGGGCAGCAGCCATGACTCAGTTCCCACCTGCTCAGCCAGGACTCCCCTGCCACTCAGCACCAATTAGGAGCCCTGGATAACACTGCTAAATAAACAACAGGGCCCCTTTCTGAGTGCCAGGCTCTAGGCTTGAGTTTGGTTTTCTTTAAATAAAGAATGGAAGCCAGCTTACATGGCTCTCATTCACCTTCACAGTAATTCCAAAGGCAGATAAGGAATTGTTCTTGGCATTGCTTTAACATATATCTTTGGTCCAAAGGAACCCAAGACTAAAAATCAACTCAAAAATAGCTAAGATGTCACATGGCTGAAAACACACTTTCTCACTAGAAGAAATGCACACTTACCCTTTAGGGAGATCAGAGGCGTCATTCAGAAGAGTCATGGCTGCCTGAACCATGGCTATGGGAGTAGCCACGTAGCCAGCCTCTGCAGGAAAGGGTCAGGCAAAGGAAAATGTTCACGGGTGAGCATCACCTCAAAATCAAGGGTGCATTTCATGTCTAGCACTGAGTATACAGAGATTTTTTTTCAATAAATATTCTGGTCTCTTAACAAAAATAATAGTGAACATTTATGTAACTCACGCTGAATATATACCTTTATCCAAACTGCTTGGGACTTCCATGCTTTAGGTTTTCTGTTGTTTTTTTTTTTCATATATATTGGAATATGTACACACACACACACACACACACACACACACACACATACACACACACACACACACACACTGAAATTATTACTCTGGAGGGTTTTGTTTATGTTTTCCCAAACAGGGTTTCTTTGCATAGTTCTGGCTGTCCCGGAATTCACTCTGTAGCCCAGTTTGGCCTCGAACTCAAGAGATCTGCCTGTCTCTGCCTCCCAAATGCTGGGATTAAAGGCGTGCGCCACTATGCTGGCCTTGGACACAATCTTATAAAATATTTTGAGCACACCGGCAATTTGACATTTCCCAGTACGTGAGGTCAGGTGCAGAATCTGCCACTTGTGTAACTGTTGGTGTTCAAAATGGTCTGATGGTGGAGAATTTCAAATTTTGGATTTTCTGATTACAGATCCTCCCCTGTACTTACTGTTAGGAACTATCTATACTAGTGCTTAAGAACTGACCTCGGTTTGTCCAGTCACATGTGAGCAATACCATTCCATCCCCACTGCACAGACAGGCCAGTGTCCTGTGCCCTTCTTCACCAGGTCTCAGAGCAGCAGCGCAAAGGTGGTCACCCTCAGGCAGGCTCCTGGGCTTCCAACCACCACACTGTTGCCCTCCTAACAACCCTGGGTGCTGAGGACTCCCATCTCTGCTTGTCAGTCCTCTAAACTGCTGCCTCCTTCCGCACTTAACAGAAACAACTCTCAGGATCTTAAAAGAAAATTTAAATAAACTGGGGGCTGGAGTGATGGCTCAGCAGTTAAGAGCTGAACCTGACAGCTCTCCCAGAGGGCCAGGGTTCAATTCTTAGCACCCACATGGCAGCTCACAACTACCTTACTCCAGTTCCAGGAGACCTAACACCCTCACATAGACATACATGCAGGCAAAACACCAATGTCTGTAAAATGAAAATAAATTAAAAAAAAAAAAGAAAGAAAAACAACTGACTGTATCCAGTAACTTAAAGTCCTTAATAAAGTGAGATATTAGTATTTATATTACTATCAAATAACTGAAACACAGTCAGATTATCTTTAAAAGCCAAGTTGTAATTTGAAAAGGAGGTGTGATTAAAAAACCTGTCATCTGGCTTCATTAGTCCTGACCCACAGTCAGAGAGTGTGGTAATTACACTTCTCCTATAGCTCTTGTGAGGGCTTGTCTCTGCATAGCGCTCTAGAAAGTTCTTCAGTCTTTTGGGCAATGGATCCTTTTAACAATCTATCAAAAGTTATTATGCTCCTTTACAAAATGTGTGTAAATCTATATATTTCACAATTTCGAAACCTTGGGCCACAGATTTGACTCACAGAATAACTACACTACTTAAGTAAGAGACTGAAGCAGATAAAAATACCAGCTGACCTTTCTTATTAATAATTAAAATTTGCCATTTTCAAACTTGGATTATTAAATCATCATGAAAAAGAAGGCAAGATGTGTTAACTAAATTGGCTAATAACAACATCACCCCTTCTATAGACAGAATAATTTCAAAATTCGTAATCCATGCAAATGTAGTTCTAAAACAAGCATACCACTTCACAGTCTAAGACACTGTAAACCCTGAGACAGCCTTATGCCATACGCACAATACCTGGTCCTTTCACTTGGGTACAGATTTTGATATTTGGTTTGTTCTTTTCGACACTAAAGCCATGGCTGTATCCTTGACCAAAGAATGTCATCGTAAATGATGATTCATCCATCTGTGAGAGAAAAGCAAAGGGTGTGCTTAGTGATACGTCATTTCCTTCTAGAACACAATAAACCCTGCTGTCCTACTCCATGAGACATATTTGCTTTTCCTCACTGAATGTTTTAATGGCTCTCAAAATCCTGTGACAGATTTTTAGATGTTTCCATTAAAAAGTACTGGTTTTGAACACTAATAACTCTAAACTGCCAAACAGAAAAAATGGCCCACAAAACATTCTCCTTTCCTTCGTCTGAAGGTTTTATGAGGCACTGTTAACCATTCACCAGGTTTTCACTATTAAACTTAAATAGCCAATTGTAACCAACAGTCCTGAGACCGCTCTCCTGCCTCTGATGGAGCCCGGGGTGGCGGGTGTTAGGCTGCTGTTCACTTAGCCTTCTGAGCTTCTGGGCAGATCTGATGACCTTGCCAGCTCCAGCGACCTTCTTGTCCGCAGGTTGATGACCCCCACAGAGCTGTCTGCCTCATGTTACAAAAGCGAAAGGATCGTGGAGGAGAGTCAGAGAAGCTCTCAACACACATGGGTTTGCCTGGACCACACAAGATGTTTGTTTGGTTTTCAAGACAGGGTTTCTCTGTGTAGCCCTGGCTGTCCTGAACTCGCTCTGTAGACCAGGCTGGCCTCGAACTCACAGAGCTCTTCCTGCTTCTGCCTCCCAAATATTGGTGTTAAAGGCGTGCGCCACCATGCCTGGTGCACACACAGATATTTTTAATACAATTAAACAATCAACGTATTCTCTACTGTATGTATGTATCCCCTTTGTGTAGCTGATTATACTGCTACCATGCAGTTCTCATCAAATCTGCCCACTTTCGTGACTTACTCAGAAAAATTTACCTGCCCCCTGTGGTAGTCTGGAGGTAATGGGCCCCCATAAGCCCACAGTGCGTGGCACTATTAGAAGGTGTGGCTTTGTTGGAGTGGGTATGGCCTTGTTGGAGGAAGTATGTCACTGTGGGGGCGGGCTTTGAGGTCTACTTTGCTCAAGCTTTGCTCAGTGTGACATACTTCCTGTTGCCTTCTGACCAAGATGTCACCAGCTCCATGTCTGCCTGCATGCTGCCATGCTCCCTGCCATGATGATAATGGACTGATCCTCTGAAACTAAGCGAGTCACCCCAATTAAATGTTTCCTTATAAGAGTTGCTGCCATGGTCATGGTTTCTCTTCACAGCAATAGAAACCCTGACTAAAACACCCTTCTTCTTCTTTTTTTTTTTCTGACATCCCCTTCTATCTCTTCTCAAAGCATGCTTTTCCTAACATTCTGGGCCTCATTCTTTCTCTGAAACTCTTCCCCCTGCCATGTGGGGAGCTCCATGCCAACTTAACTAAAATGGCATGGCTTTCCCCCCACTTTCTTTGATCTAGCTTTCTCCTCAGGACGGTGGCTGTGATTTCAGCTTGCTGCCCTGATGTTTTTCTTCTCAACTCTAACAAAATCATCCTTGAGTAAGTCTGGCAACTGCAACCCAAGGACAATGAACAGATGGGAAAAGATCAGTCTGTCACTCAACCCTCATCAGGAAGCATCTTCTTTTCAGGGGATGGGAATTAAGAGTGACCCACTC